AAAACTTTTAATGAAGGAGGACACGGCTCAGGGCCCTTCCACAGGCCCTCCCACGTGCGGCCCAACCCTGCCCCACGGAGACCGGCCACGGCGAGCGACCGGCCAATCAGAAGGTGTTCTTGATGCGGCCGGCCACCAGCCTAAGGATGTCCCCGATCTTCTTCTGCCAGTTGGCGATGTCCTTGGACACGGCGCACCACAGCTCCCCATGCCGCGGCTCTGCACTCTCGCAGCGCTTCCGCACCTCCTCCTGCTGCTCCTGGGGGGACCGCAGGGCACTTCAGGCAGGGGTCCTCCCACGCTACTCCCCAGACCTCGCCTGCTTCTCGCCTGCCCCCATGCAGACCTGGCTCTGGCAGGACCAACCCCAACTGGCGGGCGAGGGGGCGCAGGCCCTGCACCAGAGGGCAAGGCTCTTTCAGGCGTGTTCCTCGAAGGAGCCTGAGGAACACGGAACCCCCGGCCTCAGCGCACAGATGAGGAGCTGAGCCAGGCTCCCCATGTCTGTGCCTCACACAAGTGCTCACATCTGCCTTCTCCAAACAAGGAGTTAGGGTTCATGTGGGCTGGCAGCACTTTCCCGGGAAGACCAGGACAGCCTGACCGCCGCCAGCACAGCTCTGACAACGCTTGGCTCTGGGCGGCAGGTGGGAGCAGAGGGGCTGCTGTCCAGGCTCTCCTAGAAAGCCATACCCAGGCTCAGGCCCAAGAAAAAGGCCAACTCCATTCCCATTCCTCAAGTGAGCCCAGGCCCCAGCCAGCAAGTAACTCATTAAAATACGCCAGCAGACAGGCCACTCTGAGGGACAGGGCACCTCAACTCCAGGGTGTGGAGCTGTGAGGCCATAAGCAGAAAACGGATGTGGAGGCAGAGACTGCCTTGTGGGGGGGCGTCGAGGATGCTGTGCCCCACCCACCCGGTCCATCCTCCCGACACCGGGCAGAGTCATGCGGGCCGTGGCCACCTCCTAGAGCCCCCGGGGCTGGCGGAACTCCCCACCACAGTCCCGGAAGGCACTGAGCGGCGGTCTGCCGAGGGGCCTCACCTCAGTGCCATGCTGCAGCTCAAACTTGTAGAAGAAGGCCCAGGCATCCCCCAGGTCCGAGTCAATCTTCACAGTGCGGTGGAACCACTCCCTGGCCTTGGTGATCTTCCGCTGACTCCAAAACAGCCTGTTCCGGAAGAAGGACGGGAACCAGAGTGAGTGGCTGCAGGACAGTGCCCTGGGGCAGGGGAAGGGCTCCAGGGCTATCAGCTTCATCCCTGACCCGCGGCCCTGGAGCTCCCCGCAAGAAGGCCCAAGGAGCAGGGCCTGGGCTGATCTGGAAATTACCCCAGATCATTAACTTGAAGTCGTCCTTCACAGGTCTAACCAAATCGTTTTTTTTGTTTTTGAGACGCAGTCTTGCTCTGTCGCCCAGGCTGGCGTGCAGTGGTGCGCTCTCTGCTCACCGCAACCTCTGCCTCCTGGGTTCAAGTGATTCTCCTGCCTCAGCCTCCTGAGTAGCTGGGATTACAGGAACGTGCCACCATGCCCGGCTAATTTTTGTATTTTTAGTAGAGATGGGGTTTCACTGTGTTGGTCAGGCTGGTCTCAAACTCCTGACCTCGTGATCCACCTGCCTCAGCCTCCCAGTGCTGGGATTATAGGCGTGAGCCACCGTGCCTGGCCCAAATTGTTTCTTTAAAAATTCACACGCAGGGAAAGACCTTCCAACTCCATAAAATTAGGGTCAAATACAAGGAGATGAAACTAAACCTGACACAAAATTAAACTACAACTTTGATGAGGGAAAGTTACACAGTTTCAGCTCCTCACTGAGACACCTGCTGGATCATCCTGCCCCGCCTAGCCTCCAGCAGCAACCCCAGTGAACACTGAGAAGATGGACTTCCGGCAGCACCAGGGCCTGGGCCTGTGGCCCACAGCCCTCAGGCCACAGGATTGATACCACCGTGCCTGCCAGACACATGGACACCTGAAAACCAGGCCTGAAGAGGTCCATGCTGGACTATCAGAGGCCAGGTTGGGGGTGTGCATGGCACCCCCCCAAACTGCTGGAGAAAGGATGGCGGGCACTGCTGCTGGGCACGCTGGCAGGCCTGGGACTCTGCGTTGCTGCTACCCTTCCCACCCTCTCCTCGGGGTCACCTCCCCCTGGAGCCAGAGGCACTGCAGTCAGGAGACAACACGAGGAACCCCTCCACTCCAGGCAGCTGTTTGGGTTCGTCTCAGTTGCCAAACGGAATAATTTCACACTCTGATAACCTGATTGTTTTTTAAGCCTTGTGGTATTCTTAATTGCCCAGTGTTAGATAAACTGTGATTTAAGGAGCACAAACCCAGATAGCAGGCACACAAAACACTGGCTTGGGAATAGCAAGGAGTGACTTATTTACTTTAGCAAAGCCTTTTATAAGGTTTTATGGCTGCACTATCAGAGTGTCACCCAGAAGTCACTCTGGGAGGTGGACGCACAGGGCAGGACCAAGGGAGCACCAGGCACACACAAGCCTCCCTGTGGGGAGCCTCTCTCATCTGTCGGGGGCCCGCGGGCAGGGGAGAGGAGGTGCCCCTACAGGCAGGCCTACGGGGGCAGCACCCAGACCTCTGGAGACCACTGCCACCCAGTGCTGGGGAGAAGGGATGGAGAGAATCAAGAGCCGGCACTAGGAAGGCTGTTGTCTCTGCATGACCCATGGCAGGGCAGGTGGAGGGGAAGCCGGGCACGTAAGGTGAGGCCCCTCGCCGCTGGGGTCAGACACACCACCTCCGCCAGGTGAGCCCATGTCCTGAGCTGCAGCCTCAGGAGCCCAGGGTTCTTCTAAGAACTCCCTTCACCCCTACATGGTCACTTCCCAGCCTCCTGATGCACACTCAGGCCCAGCTCCTCCTCAGACTGTCATCCTCTTTCTAGAAGGAAACAGAGACCCTGTGGGTTGGGGATGGCCCCGAGCTCCCTGCTGTGCCCCGCACGTGGCAGGCCTTTGCCCACATGTGCCTAGAATCTGCACGCTCTGCCCCACGGCTCCAAGCAGCTGCCTGCGAGGTTCCAGAGTCATGTCGCCAGCGAGTCTCTGACCCAGCGGCCAGCACAGCCGAGTGTGAATCACATGGTGTGAGGTCACTCACGGATCTCTGCCTCCCCTTCACACCACGTCTTCTGAGACAGCCTCCAGCAGTCATCGTGGCACCCCCGGGCACACAAATTAGGCTCCAGTCTCCAGCTCTGGATTATTTAC